CCTGATGGTGGTGTGGAGGCCATGCACGAGGATTTGGGGTTTCTCTGTTACCACTTGTCAGCCACAGGGTGTGGGCTCCCCCAAACCAGGCCCAAGGGATGGGGTGTGAGGACCGCAGGTGTCCAAGGTGGCAAGGACCCTGCTTCTTCTGCTAATTGTGGTGGTCTTGAGTGGGAGCATCCCACATCCACAGACACAGAGGAACTGCGTGAAGAAGTGTCTGCTCATGTCTAAAAATTGTTTGGTGGACGCCCTGGAGAGGTGCTGGTGACACACCACCTGTAGGTTGCAGGGCCGCTGGGTTACCATGCGTCCTGAGCCCTCCTGAGTCGGGGGTGGATGGCTGGCTGTGATGTGTTGGGAGTACCTGCCATGTGCTTGGTCTCCCACGCTGCCCTGCAGTGAGCACCCTCAGGACTCAATGGCCGCCCACCTGCAGCGCACCTCACAGGAGACGGCAGGGAGTGGGGGTGCTTTAGGTGCCCGGGTTCCCGAGTACACCTTTCTCAGTCACTGTGGGTGAGAGGTTTGCCGGCATCACTCACGTCTGGGAAGCATGACTCCCCAGCTGTTGCCTTTTGGTCGTGTGGTCGGTGTCACGGCCCCGACACCCCTTGCATGCCTGGGCCATGCCTCTGGTCTGGCCTCTCCTGACGGAACGTTGTGCACTGTGTCCTGGCCACACCTCGTGTTTTCTCTAACAGGGTTGGCAGGCCTGCCTTCCTGCCCACTCGGCACAATGAGTGGGTGACTGACAACGGGGTATTTTCCACTCTCGGGGCAGGGAGCCAGCTGTCCTCACGCCCTCACCCTTGCCGAGCTACTGAAGTCACAGGATTTACAGCCGCTATGTCCTGTGCCCAGATCACAGGACGCAGACCTTCCCCAGAGTTATGCCTTAGCCATCACACCAGAGGGTGGCTTGTCCTTCTGGCCCTGGGGGTGGAGCAGGGAGCAGTTCTGCCTGCAGAGTCTCCTCGGTGCCCCGTTACTTCCACACGGGTGGAAGTGGGCCGTGTGAAGGCAAGGGAGCATTTCTGTTTAACCAGACTCGCAAGTTACTACTTCTGTGCTCTTTTAAAGATGGGGAAACAGTCTGAGAGATGAATCAAGTTGCTTAAGGTCAGAAATTTAGTGAGTGGCAAAGCTGATACTGAAATTCATATTTTCCCCGCTGTGCTTCATCTCCTCTCTGAGGAAGAGTATCAAAGCAGAAACTTAAACTTCACAGGAGACGCAAGGGAGAGCACGGGCCAGAGCCTGAGCAGCCGCCCGGGGTGAGGGGCCAAGGCCTCCCTGGGCCTTTCTGTGTCATCACAGCTGCATGTTAAGGTGCTGTGTGGGGGCTTGAGCCTCACTGTACAGCGGCTATGTCTGCACCCACACTTCTGTCCGAGGGAAATGGCTGATCTGGTTGTTTCTTCCCCAAAGTGCTGTCATAACTAATACATTGGAAGGTGCTCAGAACTACGAATGAGGTGCCTTTTAAACATCACTGCTGTCAGCACACAGAATCTGTAAAGTGATTTTGTAAATGTTTTTTAATCGGGAAAGCGGCTTATTTGTTTACTTTTTGACCCCCTTCACCCATTTCTCTTGCCCACCCCCCACCCCACCTCTGGCAGCCGCCAGTTTGCTCTCTGTATTTGAGTCTGTTGGTTTTAGATTCCACAGGTAAGGCAGATTAGCTGCTGTTTTTCTCTCACTTAGCATCATGCCCTCAAGGTCCATCCATGAAGCGGTGATGTTTCATTCTTTCTTATGGCGAGTAACAGGTGGCTGGGTATATCCAGCCGCCTGTGTTGATCAGCACTTGGGCTGCTCCCATACTGGGTGTCGTAAATAACGCTGTGGTGAACGTGCGGGTGCATGTGTACTTTAGGGTTAATGTTTTTGTTTTCTTCAGATAAGTACCCAGAAGTGGGATCGCTGGGTCAAAAGGCAGCTCCATTTTTAATATTTTTTAGAAAACTCCACACTGTTTTCCACAGTGGTTGCCCCAGTCTGCATTCCCACCAGCAGTGTGCCAGGGTTCCCCTTTCTCCACACCCTCGCCAGCACCTGTCATTTGTTGGTTTGTTGATGGAGCCATTCTGACAGGTGTGAAGTGATACCTTCTTGTGGTTTTAATTTGTATCTCTCCGATGATTACTGATCTTGAGCATCTTTTCAGGTGTGTGTTGGCTGTCTCTATGTCTTCTTTGGAAAACTGTTCAGATCTTGCCCCATTTTTATTTTTATTATTTTTTAAATATATTTTTAATTGATTTCAAAGAGAGAAAGGGAGAGGGAGAGAAACATCAATGATGAGTCATTGATCGGCTGCCTTCTGCACGCCCCCGACTGGTGATGGAGCCCACAACTCAGGCCTGTGCCCTGACCAGGAATCGAACCTCAATCTCCTGGATCCTAGGTCGACGCTCCACTGCTGAGCCATGCATGCTGGGCTTGCCCATTTTAAAATATTTTTGCTATTGAGTTGTATGAGTTCTTTATATATTTTGGGTATTAACCACTTATCAGATAATATGATTTGCAAATAGTACCTCCCAAAGGGTTTCCTCTGCTGTGGAGAGGAGGAAGCCTTTTTAAGGATGACTTCATCATAATCTAATGGTTGAGGTCTGACTCTCCAGTGCCACTTGATTCTGGCTGTTCTGAAGTCTGTCCTGCTGCCCTTCCTCCGGGTCCTCGACCCTCTGTCCCTTTCCTGCCTCGGCAGGATAGACTGGGTCCTCCCTGTTCTTTACTCTGCTTTCCCAGGCCCAGTCGGTGGCTGCCCGAGTGGCAGTGTGAACATTTATCTTGGGGCAGAGAGTTGTCTTCATTTTTCAGGTAATCATTGTGTTTTTAGGTGAATGGAAAGATGCATGACCAGAGCTTCCCTTGCTCCTTGGCTGGGCCCCTAAAGAAACTACAGGAAAACCACTGTGTTTGTGGAAAGTAATATTAAGGACACCAGGGGATTGAAGTCGGTTAAGACACAGGACAAAATTTCACGCTCTACTTTGGCTTGTGGGCTGCAGAGCTGCTGTCTTGTGGGACACCCGCAGGGGACATGGGCACCTCTTAGATCCTGCAGGGACAGCCCTGTGCCCACCGAGGAGGGGCTGGTTGGAGTGCTAGTGTCCCTGAGCGGCACTGACCAGTTCCGGGCCCAGCTGTCCCCCTCTCTTCTCCAGGACACCTGGGCCATGTCTGTTTTGTCAGAGACACTTGCCCAGCATGAGAACCCTCCTGGTGGGGTGGCTGTCAGTCCATGGCTGGGTCCCTGGGACAGTCCTGCCTGTTTCCCTGGTGTGCCCAGCACACTGTTGGTCCACCTGCTGGGGGTTGGGTGTGCATTGGGCCCTAGGGGACCTGCTCCCTGCTCCTTCCTTGTCCTGTTCTGGGGATGGTCTTCTCGAGGCCTGCGGGACTGTTTGCTTGGGCCCTGAGCCCTGCCTCCACGCTGTCCTGGACTCCGACCTTGCACCCACAGTGGTGTCTTCATGACTTCTGGAGTCTCACTCTGACTCCCCAGGGCGTGCAGTTCTGCCAGCTTTTGCAGTTGTGGCTCCTGTAACCACCTCATCAGTGGAGCAAGCCACTCCCTCCCCCATGTGCAGGGGCCTCGCTCCCCTCCTTGGAGACCCGAGATCCAGTGCATGGCAGCTGATGCACCATCGCTCCTGCTGAGTTGGTGTTTGGGTCGCTCCGTGTGACTTTGTCATGCTTGCACTCTGGTAGCCCGCCCTCTAGGTCCCCTTCCTGTCCCCTTCCTGTCCTGCCTTCGTTTGTGTGTGTTCTACCTCAGCGCCTGGTCTTGTTTTCTGTCTGGTGTTTGGAGTGTTGCTCTGGGCTACAGTGAGCGTCCCTAAGCCCTCCCCTCCTGCTAGGCCACGTCAGGTCTCAGGGCTGGCGGACACAGCCGCTCTCCCTGGTCCTGAGGCATCTGAATCAGTAGTTCAGGTCCAGCCAAGGAACAGTCTAAGTCCTGCTGATGAGCTGCTCAGCCAGTGGTCTGTTTTCTTCAGGGCCCTGCTTGAATCCCATCCTTTCTATTAAAAAGCTTCTCTAAACCCAGAAAGACTAAACCTCCGCCCTACTTTCTTTATGTGCTGTTTGTAGTGTTTGGCGCTTACTCTTGTGCTTGTGGAGAGAATGGAGGTGGTGCTGGTGCCAGTGGTGGTGTTGCTAGGACAGCGCGTGTTTCAGAGACAGCACTGAACTCGGCCATTGTTTACCATCCCAGTTTCCTCACCTGTAAAATGGAAACAGTAATGCTCTGACACTCTCCTTTCCAAGTTGTAATAAAGATTAAGAATGAAAAAAAGAAAGAAAAATGTGCAAAGAAGAGTCAGCTTCATGTGCATTTGGGTGCCCTGTCCTCATTCCTGGTGGCCTGGTTGCCCCTGGTGTCGTCTCCCTGCTGCTTGAGACCTTCCTAGCAGTCCCTTTAGAGCAGGTGTGCTGGGCCCACGTCCTGTCGTCGTCCCTCCCTCCCAGAACCTTTAGTTCTGGAGGATGTTCTTGCTGGATAGGGAATCCCTCAACGTTGGAAGCATCTCCTGAGATGGTCACACTGAAGCTCCAGGGAGTTCCTCATCTCTGCAGAACCCACACTGCCTGTTGGGACCTGGGAACTGGGCCTGTGGCGCCCTTTGCAGAAGGCCCAGGCCAGTGTCTGTCACGGGCCACTGCAGGCTAGTCCCAGGCGGCTCTGTGTGCCTGCAGTCCTGGGCCTGAGTGCCTGTGGTCTGTTCCAGGTGAGCCTGCCGCTCTCCTCCCACACCAGGCTCTGAGGGTCATGCCCCAGGGGAATGGCAGGGACCAGAGCCCATGCTTCCCTCAGCGTCTGCCAGCTCTCCTGAATGAAGGCTCCCTGAGTGAGGGTGCACCCTTCCTGCTGTGGGTCCTGGTGTCTCTCACTGTCCTCCCTGTCTTGTTTATTGGTCTGTCATCTTGTGCATCTCAGATGTGGTCATTGCATGACACACGAGGCTGGTCATCTCAGTGTGACCTGCTCAATGACAGGTGGTGTGTTCCCCAGCTGCCCTGTCACTCTCAGCAGCACACGCTGCTCTGGACGCCGGTGCTCTGAGCGCAGCCATGAGTGCTCCAGTGTGCTGCATGCCCCCTCCCCCCGTGCGGGGTCTCCCCCAACTAGGGATACTCAGTCCTGTACTCTGGGTGGAGGTTGTGTGTCCCCTTGCCCTGGTGCTCTGACGTGGTCTGTGTGTTTGGGTTTCAGGCGGGCGCACACCCTGACCGTGCTCTTCATCCTGACCTGCGTGCTTGGCTACGTGACTCTGCTGGAAGAGACCCCTCAGGACACGGCCTACAACACCAAGAGGTAACCAGGCCCGGACTCAGCCATGCAGCCGCCTGGTGGTGCTGTGTGAGGGTGCCCCTTTGGGCGAGACTCCGCACAAGCAAGGTTTCCTTTCGTCGTTTTCATGTAGAGGGTTTGTTCAGGAGCAGTGGGCAGGGGGGCCCCAGGCAGGACTTGGTCACACTGAAGAGCTTTCCCGCCCGGCCAAGATGGCTCAGAGGTTGAGCATCGACCTAGGATCCAGGAGATCGTGGTTTGATTCCCGGGCAACCCAGGGCACATACCTGGGTTGCTGGCTCAATACCCAGTGGGGCCGGAGGTGCAGGAAGAATATATTAAAAAAAGAGAGAGAGCTGTTCCCATACGGCTGTGAAATCAAGGCAGAGATGAGCAGTTCCAATGTCATCAGGCAGGTATTGTCACAAAAGGTGACCCCGGCTGGAGTGGGCCCATATGGGGTGTACTGGGAGCGCCTCCCCAGGGCAGGGGATTGGCTCTCATCCAGGTGGCAGCTCCCTGCAGGGGCTGACTTCTGATAATGTCAGAGCTTTTGATGCCCTCAGGAAGGTTTCAAGGGTAGGTCATGTTTATTTTCTAAAACTAATACATTGTTAAAAGCTTAGCAAATGGCTTTCCTTAAGCTCCCTTTGGCTTCTATCACTGTTCTTTTGGGATCTAACAAGCTCCATCACTTTGGGCGAGTAGTTTTAATTTCTCCCTGAGGTGGCGTCATCCAGCGAGCGCCTGTGTGTGGCTGCTTCCACTCGGCATGGTGGTTTGACACCTGCGGGTGGCTCTCAGTGGTTTGGTTCCCAGCTGGGAGTGCTCCCCCGTGAGGAGGCACCACACACTCCAGTGGTCCATTCATCTGTTGGTGACGGTGGGATATTTATGTATTTGTATAAATGCACATGTATAAGTGTATAAGTGATCCCGTTAAGACCAGGAAAGACCAGCCACAGACTGCTAGGAAATGTTTGCAGAACATACCGGATAGGGGACTTGTTTCCAAAATATGCAAAGAACTCTCAAAACTCCACAACAGGAAACAAGCAGCACAATTAAAAATGGGCAAGAGGTCTGAGCAGACACTTCACCAGAGAAAATGGGCAGGTGGCAGATAAGCACATCTGTCATCAGGGAAACGCAAATTAAAATTGCGACCCCCTCCACACACTTGTTAGATAGTGAAAGACACATGATACCAGGGCTGGCGAGGACACGAAGAGCGAGGGATGTCACCACTGGCGGGAAGCAGGCGGAGCCACAGGGTGGGGGCAGCCTCAGGGTCTCATGGAACCACACTCACCGCACAGTCCAGCAGTTATGCTCCTAGCCATTCGTCCGGATGGATCGAGAACTCCTGTCCACCGAAACCTGCACTCAATCTTTACAGCAGCTTTTCTCATAATTGCCCCAAACTGGAGGTAACCAGGACGTCCTTCAGCAGGTGATGGATCAGCCGACTGCGGGACGTTCTGTGGGAGGAAGAAACTTTTCTCCCTCCCAGGTTCCTTCAGCTGGCCTAACCTAAATCTGTGCGAGGCGGGGTAGATTAGCAAGGAAAATGACTAGACTTAACTACCTGCGTATGCGTGAGCGCCCCACGTGTGTAAGAGGTTCTTGGACATGTGTGGTCTAAGTGAAGGAGGCAGTCAGGTGCCGGGGCTGCAGGATGAGGAGAGCAGGTGTCCCGTAACAAGATGCCTGCCCTGCCCTGTGGACAGGCCACAATGGGTTATTTCTGGTAATAGCTCTTATTATGGGCAAGGCCACTAAGTTAAATTTTTCAAGGGAGAGGTAAGAGTTTTTTAAGCCCACAGGATCTCAACTGCCTTTGGCTCAGAACAGCCTACATGCCCACGTGGTGTGTCTTGGGGAGCCTGTTCTGGCTCCTGCGGTCCTGCCTTTGAGACTCCTGAGAACTCTCACATGCCAAAAGTTGGGTCAGTTGATTGTTCTGTGTCTCATTGGACTGGTCTCGGTCTTGAGAACAGTTCAGTTAAACAGTTTTGACTCATTTCATGAGGTGCTGATGCCGGTGGGCTCCCAAAGTTAGGCCTGGGATGCAAGGAATCAGGTCTTTAATAAGCGGCATCTCTATGAAAACAAAAGAGAAACAATGATTAATGGTTGGAGCAGATGGTCATCCTGGTGTCCGGGCTCTGAAGGCAGGCAGCCGAGAAGAGTCCCTGGTGTCTGTCCGGCAGCATCTTCAGGGGGAGTGGAGCCAGGAGTGGGAGTCTGACAGTCTCCTGTTTGCTGTGTGACCATCTGCAGCAGGCACCAAGGTTGTCCACAGGGGAACCCCACGTCTGAGTCTACAAAGTTGTCCCGCAGTGGCTCGCCTGGCCTTGGGGGAAGGGCAGCTTTACTTCTGTGATTCCATGTCAGAAGGTGGAGAACAGCTGGAAACATTGGTTTGGAGTCATAGCTAGAAGAAACTGGAAGAATTCAGCACCTGTCCCATTTGCAGGAGGGAACAAAAGCTCAGGAAAACAACCAGCACTAGGCTGTGTCCACAGAGGAGTGTTGCTGAGACTCTAAAGTCACCCCCACTTTCACCAACGACAGATACATGAAGACTAGTTATTAGCAAAATCACCCAGTTTCAGTAAACCTGGCCTGTATTTGCACGGGAACAGCAAGAACAGTAATTAATCCTTTAGGCTCTTTAAGTCTGCTTTGCTAGAGTTTTTCATAAGGACTCTCCAGATTGAACTTGACCTCTCGGGGCCAGAACAGCCTAGGCACGGACTTCCTGTCAGACTTCATGTGCAGTACCTGTAGGGCTGGGCGAGTGCCTGTCTTCTCGAGGTCCCCAAGGTATCTAGAGTTTCCTGCATCTGCCAGGAAATAAATGTTCAGTTCTGCTTACACAGTGTCATTTACCAAATTGCTCTTAAGTCATAGCTCACTTAAGAGAAAATTTCCTTGTATCTGAAGAACAAAAAAAGTTTAAGAAGCAGCAGTGTTTCAAACAAAGTCATAAAAAGTCACCCTCGTCCACTCATTCAGTCTGCATTGAGATTTGCTCACTGGGATCCAGTTTTTCTGTAATTCTGTGGCCTGGCCTGTTGGTCGAGGGTGATTCCAGGAAGTTTGCAGGACTTTCTGTCAAGCTCAGAGGATGTGCTCAGGGCAGTGCTGTCCGGGTGACCAGAGGCTGTGAAGGTTCGCCCCACATGGAAACACGTTCTCTACCAGCCCATCCCTGCAAGGGCATCAGCCTGTGGCAGGGGGGCCTCAGCCCACCCAGAAGTGATTCACACAGCAGCATCCTGACAGCCCATCCTGAGCTTCAGCAGTGTGAAGTCCAGCTTATGTGTGCTGCATAGACAAAGGGTAAAAAGCCAGAAGGTGGGGCTGGCTGGCGCTCCATAGCCGACTGCTGTTTAATTCACAGCCTTTGTCCCCACTTCTCTTTCTCTGACTCAGGAGCAGACTGTGGCCATGAGACAAAGGGGTCAGGATGAAGGAGCCGGTACTGTGGGAGGAGGAAGGGACTTCCTTGCTGAAGCGGATTGGGCCCCAATCTTGAATTTTGTGTCTGAACCTTTGCGTGAACGTCAGCAGGACATTTCAGACACAGCTTCGGGCTCTCGCAGAAGAGCCAGTGTTCTCACAGCATCAGAGACCCAGCACAACACAGAACATAGCAGGTTCTCTCCGTAAAACACAGAACCTTGCTTCCAGAATCGTCTCGGAGCAGACGGGTAGGAAATCTCCGTCCTTCACAGATGACGGAGTCTGAGAGTCAGTGCACCGTTGGTAGGAGAGCGACCCCCCCCAACTCTCTTACCCAGCTGATCGCACGTAAAACTTCCTCAAGAATCCTTTCTCGTGAACTTCCCACAGCATTCTCTGTCCCTTTTAGCTTGTCTCCTTCTCTGACCCACTCAGAAATCACCAGGACAAAATCTGTTGTGTCGAGTAACGAAAATACGTATCCATGTCTCACACCTGTTTTTAAGCCAAAACATACCCTGTTTTTCTGGTACATACAGTTGTGTCCCCAGTTATTGTTATTTGTAGCTTTAATTACATACACGAGGATTCTTAACCTTTAGAAACTTCCGTTTCTGGTGGAAACTAAGAAGTAAGCAGTTGTGAGCTGTCTGTCGCACCAGTATCTAGAGTAACACATTTATACATACACTCCACAATCTCCAGGAAGATTGGCTCTTTCATCATATGCTCTTCAGTGAGGCACAGACGTTTACGGAGAGACCTGGGCGTCCTGGTTCCTCTGTGGTAAGATGCCACAGGGGATGAATCTGTGTTCAGTAACCAGTGGTTCATTATTTTATCTTATTTGGATAAGTCTGGATAGTCAGTGAATTTCCGTCATTTAATCTAGTTAGCAAAACTTTGAAATTTCACAGAGATTTAGGAAACCATTTTTAATAACTTTTTTTAACTCTCACCCAAGGATATTTTTCCATTGCTTTTCAGAGAGAGTGGAAGGGGGGAGAGAGAGGAACATCGATGTGAGAGACGTGTTGATGGGCTGCCTCCCACACTTGCGCCGACCAGGGCCAGGGATCAAGCCTGCAATGAGGTACGTGCCCTTGGCCAGGAATCAAACCTGGGACCCTCAGTCCACAGGCCAACACTCTAACCACTGAGCCAAACCAGCCAGGGCAGGAAAACATTTTTAAGTACACATCAAATATAGTTACGGCTGAAGAGTTTTCCCCAAAAAACTCTGTATCCTACTTACATTATGTACTTGCCGTTAACAATTATGTTTATATTACTTATGAAAATTCTCATACCAGATTATCTTTCTCAATGGCAGATTTTGCAACACAGATAACACAGGCTTGACTAATAAACTAGGTAGAATAAATGTACTCTACCAAATGCTGGTGCCAGTGCCTGCACATGCCTGTCTAACCAGCGCCGGCCTCAAGCATGTCCTAGATCACGGGACCCTGAAAAGCATTCGGGTTCCTTTCTATTATAGTTTTGAAAATTTTACATAGGCACTTGTTTGTTTAAGCCATTTAATTAGAGGC